GTTCATCTTTGCAAAGAGAGGGATAATGAAAACAGATTTAAGATTAAAACTGCATGTAATGTTAGTGGAATTACTTGAACGTGTGGCATTCACCACGTGCAGGATATGATAATGGATCTTTTTGACACACATGAAGTGAACTATCAACCATGTTAGGGTGGGAACAGCACAGCCTAAAAACACTAATGTTTCCTCAACAACAGATTTGTAATTAATGGTTCAGACTTTTCTTATTACAAAATGTCTAAACATATATTTGGACTGAGGATAACAGAAACTTGTTAGGAAAAATGCAGAGGAAAGGTAGGGGCAGTGTCAGTGTAGCCCTGCACAGCTTCACCTCTGAGATACCTGGTACTCACAGTGTACTGCCTGAAAGTCTTTGGATCATGAGTAATCCTGAAGGATAGATAGAATGCTATAAAAAAATACAAAAGCTATGGAAACATTTCGAAGCACATAGTGTGCAGGTGCCTTGATCTCAGAAGATCTGATCTCAGAAAGAATATATGCCATGCTGAGCCCCTTACTAGACAGTTTTACTTAGCACAGAACACATTCTCTCCCTAGTTGCAGGTGCCCGGCTCCCACTGACTTTGAAAATGTCCAACTGCATCAAAGTTAGACTCATTTTAAGATCAATAACCTGCCAGGGGTTCAGGGAAGCATATAGATTTTAGCTTCCCTTTTCCCCAGCTTACAATCCAGAGCTAAAAGTATCTACAGTTTCAACTTTATGCTGAAGGCAGAAGAGAAATCACTGAGTCTGTAGGTCTGCATAGTCAGAGCTCTAAGGAGTATATTTTATGGAGTTATACAGATGATACATACAGAAGAGCTTTAACCTAGGAATGCTGGAGTTGGAGAAGGAGCCGAAGGAGAACTTGTGGATGAGGATTAAAGCACAGCCCAGCATGGGTGATGCTGTAGTGGGTGTCTGCCACCTAGCCATGCAGAGCAATTGGCTGAAGCCTTTTCCAGACAAGCAGAAGTAGCTTTCATGGGGGACCAGCCTGATTATTGGCCAAAGAGGCAACACAGCAGGTCATAGGCAACGCAGTAAGTTCCTGGATAGTATTGATGGAAACGTCCTGACGTAACTGATGGAGGAGCCAGTAAAGGCAAGTGCTCAGCTGGAGATCTTCCTCACAAACGAGGAAAGGCTCACTGGGGACATGAGAGTCAAAGGCAGCCCTGGCTGCAGTGACCATAAGACCAACCTGGACTTCAGGAGAGCAGACTTCAGCCTTTTCAGGGATCTGCTTGGATGAATCCCTTGAAGGAAGAGAGGCCCGAGAAAGTTGGTTGGTATGGAAGATGTTTAGAGAGTCTAAAAGCTCAATCCTGAAGAGCAGGAATTTAGGCAAAAATGCCAGAAGTCCTTTATGGATGAAAAATGAGCTCTTTGCAAAACTGAAACATAATAAAGAAGGACTATACAGAAAGTGGAAGCACAGACATGTAACCTGGAAGGAATATAGAGCCACTGTCCAAGATTACGGAGATATAATTTGGCAAGCCACAGCCCACGTGGAGTAGAACCTAGTGAGGGATGTCTATGGGTATTTATTTATGTGAATTTGAAGCTAATGCAAATTGTAAATTGTAAACTTTTTACTTGGTGCAGTTCAGCTTTGTGATAAAAAAAAACCCAAAAACAAGCAAAAATGCCACCCAAAACTAAAATCAACCAGCTAAAAATCAACATTTGTAAAATTACTTTCTTGGATAATATCAAATTCTGCAAGGGATTTGGCAGAAATATAGCTGATATTGATTAAATCACATTTTTAAAAAATCTATTAAAAAAGAACAAATGTGTCTGGAAAGCCAAGAATTGGAAAGCTTTGTTAAGAAAGTGCTCCACAATAGACCTGCAAAGCAGTTTCTTGTGCTTTTAAAAGGCCAAGTCCATTTCAGCTCATATCAGTTTCATAAAATATTTTATATCTAACAAAAGTGCATGAATAGAAATGAGGAACTGAGAGTGACATGAAATCCCTTGCAGAACACCCACGAGCTGCTGTGATGGCTTTTACAGGGGCAACTGGGATGTCAAATGTGAGGCCTCTCTGACAGAGTATCTTTTATCCAAAACAAGTAATGTTTTCTAAGAGAAGTGTTTCCTAAAGATGTTTGTTCTTAAGATTTCACATGTTTTACAACTGTTTTAGTCTCTCTAAATTTGAATGTTTTTGTTATTTAAACTGTAAGACCTAACTTTCTTTCTTCAGGCATAGAGATACACAGAGCCTGCAGTGCACTGATTTAGGATTATAAAACAAAAGCCTAAGAAGCTGTGGATGGTTATTCACAGTAGACATATCAAGTCAAGGAGATCATTCCTTTATTTACTGTTTTCTAAGGCTCTGTGCCCAGGGCTTTAAGATGTTTCCTGAATTTATATTACACTTTACTCTCTTGTTTCATCTGAAGATTAAAAAAGAGCAGTCAGGGTACAATACACACATTCTACTAGATTTTAGGATTTTATTTCATTTACTGAAAAGAGAATTGCATGAAGTCACTCAGATTTGAATCTGCTGAAATAGTCCTAACATGACCCAGAAATGTAGTCTCTGTAACAGCTATAAATACATGCAAAGAGCATTGCATTTATCTATGTGGAAAATAAGCACATTTCGTGTTCATTTTTGCACTCTCAAAATATTTCAGAATACAGAACTTTTCACAAGAAAACTAATTGTCCTTTGCTGCTTTTTCAACTCAGTAAATACCAAGACTGAGACCTGAGCTTCAGCAGCTGGGAGCAATGACTGTCCCTTGCCTTCCCCTGCTGTTCCTCATTAACAGCAGGAACTGTGCTTATTTAAACCCATCCTGATTTGCCATGTGCAAGGAATAGTGAGGGGCTGAATTCAGGAGCTGTTAGAAGTACAGTAGATCAGATCTTCCTGATGACTGATTTGTGAAGAACAGCCTCACACTGCTTGGACAGCTCTGGGGGAGGGAGAGCAAGGAAAGAAGCTTTTCAGCTCTTGGGAGGAGAATTGCTGGGCAGCATTACAGAGGGTCGTAAAAACTTTGAGATCAAATTGGCTGAGATTGGAGTCAGGGTCAGGAGGCTGTGGAAATGCTATGAATATGGTGGGGAAATTAAAGGAGTGTTAGTTTAATAAGTATTGTGTGTATGCAAGCTGATTGATACAGAAAATTGCCTCTTTTTGTGACAACAGCTTTGGTGAGGCACATTTGGAAAAAAAAAAGAGGAGATTGTGTGTCCTTTCGCTGCAAATTGGCTGAGATTGGAGTCAGGGTCAGGAGGCTGTGGAAATGCTATGAATATGGTGGGGAAATTAAAGGAGTGTTAGTTTAATAAGTATTGTGTGTATGCAAGCTGATTGATACAGAAAATTGCCTCTTTTTGTGACAACAGCTTTGGTGAGGCACATTTGGAAAAAAAAAAGAGGAGATTGTGTGTCCTTTCGCTGCTGCACTAAATAGAGCTGTTCAGATGAGAATCTTCTAGTCTTCTTTTCTTGCCATTTTTTCTCAGACTCCCAGGCATATCCAGCCTTTCAACAGTTGTCTTAACTGTTTACATTTAGTATTATTTTTAAATAGTGATCTCTTTTCTACTCTCTCCTGTTAACAAGTAGTAAAAAATGCCCCTTGCACACCTCGATGTAATTTGCCTGTATTGCAGGCTGCACAATTCTGCCATTAGTGTCTATGATTTGCTGCATGTGCCTGTGGATGCCCTCACAAAAAGGTTGTTGTTCTGACTTCAGAAGAGTTGGTGTTGTTCATGTGTTTCAAACAAACTGTCATTTACAGAAGTTGAGCTCAGGTGTAACTGTCTGCAGGGAGAGGGGTAGGTGGTACCTGCCTGACCTCACTCTCCTCTCAGTGACCTGCAAGTAGAAGTGAAGTGCCTGGACAAAACAGAATGCAATATTCCCATTCCTCCCCCCATTTGAAGTAGTGTTCTTGGTGGATTGAGAGATTTTTTTAATATTTGCCTATATTAGGTATATTTTATTCAGAAGTGAGAACTTTCAGAGGAATCTGGTGAGGAAAAGTTTCAATTCTTTCAAGAAAAAAAGTTTCTCTTCAATTCTAGCATTTGGCTAGCATTACAGTAGACCTAGCACTGGTGAGTAAGAAGAGGGAGAATAAAAATATTTTTTTCCATTATGGCATTAATAACCCCCTATCAAAATAGCACGTGACTCTATGGAGTCTTTTCAATGAAAGGATGATTTGGGTTAGAAATATGGGCAGTAGAAACTGCTGTTAATTTTCATGGCCATCAAAGATAAAAAGATCTTTTTTCCCTAGAAAGAATAAAAGCTGACAGAAATTGCAGACAGGTAAAAAAGTGTGCAGAGCAAACACAGAAGGAAAAAAAAGAGAAGCCACTTTTTTTGGCATATTAAAATATTTCTAAAGAGATCCACCAAGATGAACAGAATGGGTTCTGGTTCACTGTTCTACAGATTGCTTTTTATGGAAGCACTTACATCTCTTCCTTACTGAAGCACTTACATCTCTTCCTAGCCCAATCTGAGGAGAAAATCAATAGTCATTTTCAATTATGGCAACTTGATCACACTACAGTTGGCTAAGGGTTGCTAACTTGAACCCTGTTTCTGTAATCAGGTTTTTTTATTTCCTTGCTTATCAAATATTTTGAGGAAAAATGTAAACATTGCAAACAGATGTGATTGCAGTTTAGAAATTAGAATGAGAAGAAAATTATTAAATCTGTTTCTGGGCAGTGTTTTCAGACAGGGAGAGGTGAATGTACAATGCATGTCTTTAGCTGTTTCAGTGGTGTGGCAGCAGTGGAACTAAGATGTGCCATCGTACAGCCAGGGGAGTTTGTCACAGTGGCTCTTAGGAGGAACTGTTTGTGCTTTTTTTGCTGAAGAGTGTGCATTTGCACTGAATGTTCACTAATGAAAAAAAAGTATCTGACTAGAATTGCTATTTGGTGCTGATTTAGAAAAGAATCTGATTTTCTCCTCTCTTCCCAGGTGGCCATTGATGAGCGCATCAGGCAACTGCATGAAGCTCACAGGGACTTTGGACCTACTTCCCAGCATTTTCTTACCAGTGAGTAATTGCCCATTTTTCTTGTTCAGTTTCCATACATAGTTAATTGATATTTTTGTAGCCATGTGTTGGTTGTCATTGCTATGAGCTTCTGTTTTAGACTGTATGATAATGATTTTCTTTTTTTTTTTTTTTTCATTTCTGGGTGCAGAGGACTCTTAAACAAGTTTATATAGTCCAGTCCCAGGGTAAATGGCAAACATCTGTCAGTATTGAGTCTCTTTGTCCACATCTGTCACTGCTAGGTTGGCCTTCATTGTTTGAAGGTTCCCTTTCAGGACTACAAACTTATATTAAGAAGAGTTTCTGATTATTTTAACCCATAAAAGATGATTTTAAAAAACTATGTTATCTGTTCAAAGACACATTCAACTCCAAAAAAGGGCAAAATAAGACCTGTGAGAAAAATATTTTACAGGATTTGATCACTTAGCAGAGCAGTGAGAGGATCAAAACTGTAGTGGGAAAGTTGGCAGAAGAATGGCAGCTAAGTAAACTTTTTACAACTGTGCATAAAATAGAATTGCCAGTAAAATTCCCACTCCACCTCCACACGCATTCTTTTATCAAGGATGTTTTGAAGTGCACTGAAAGACAACTTGAAACACCTTCAAAGCTCTAAGGCGGTGACTTAAATGAAGCTTCTTAAAGGCCATGTCTTTTCTATTGTACTTCAATTAAGGAAAGTAAACAGTAAAGCTTTATTTAAGAGATTATATCAGCGGAACAGAAACCAGTCATAGGATAATATTCTCCTACATGCAGAGGGACAAGCTATCCAGACATCAGAAATAGATGTTACTATTATTATTGCACAGCTACGTACACAGTGGGATAGAGGACAAACTTTTTTTCAGCTGATACTGCATTGTATTTTAATAGGTTAACCATTTTTCCACTGAGAATCTCAATGGGAAGCTGAAAATTCTCAGTGGGATGAAACACAAATTCAAAACCAGAGTCAGTGTTGTGGCATGTAAGAATAATGCAGGCTGATTCAACCCTGCACCTTGTTTTATCAAAGTATTGAGAAATAAGCTCTATTTTTGTAATTGCTTTTTTCAAAATCACTTTTATTTAACTGGGAATAATTTGTCAGATCAATATATGTAAAACTGCAAATCAGACTTGTCAAGACAGAATGTGTGAGGGTTGTTGTGTATGTGACATGAACACAATGTGTAAATAGGTGCCTGTTTTTTGGTGTATTTCTGGTGAAAGAATACATTTAGAATGTAAATCAAGCAATTCTGAAAGAGACACGGGTGACCTGCACTACATTATCACACTAAACACTCATTGTTCTCTGTGCCAGTGCTGAGGGCACCCAGGTTATGCCCTAGGCTCACTCTGCATTGTTACTGATAAACTAGATCGATCTAAAAGTTGCTCAGTGTTGTGAAAGAAACATCTTTTAGCCTACCCATCATTAGTGAGACACTGAGACATTCTTCTGTGTAAGTAACTAGAGCTTATTCTGGAAGGAGCCTGGTGAAATGTGTTGACTTTGGAAATAGTCAAATTACTGAGAAAAATGGACGTGTATTTGTTTGTTTGTTCTCTCTCTCTTAGATGTGTGTGCAAATATGCATTCTTACCCATGCATGCAAAAGTTAGGTATTTGAAGCTTTGAAAATATCTGTAGAATCCTTTCCAAGTGTAAGTGTTCAGTCACTGAAATCTGCCAGGACATATATCAGTCCCATCTTTCATAAGCTCCAAATTCCAAAGGCATCCAGTTGCTTGATATCAGGTACTATTGCTACACCAGAGGAAAATATTGTGCTTTTACATGCTTTTCATGTCCTGCCTCTGCTGTATCCCTCCACAAATGGAAGCACATCTATGGAGAGAGAGTGCTGCAGGACAGAGAGAGCCACAGGCTCTGCTGTCCAGCACTAGTATTTCCTGTAGCTGTATTTGGGGGATGAACAAGGCAAACCTGAGTGTTGCCAGACAGAATTGGGCAGGTCAAATGAAGGTGAATTTAATGGCTTGCAAATGAACTTTCAGTACAAACAGAGTCCAAGTTGGTCAGTCTAGCTGTGGCAACAGCAGTGCAAAGAGGAATCAGAGCACTTTTGCTTCTTTTATTTTAAAAGCTCAACTTGCAGAGCACTTTTTTCTGAGGAGCTGAGATACACATAACATCAGTGCAAGCTATGATCAGTAAGGAAAAGAAGCAATCTAGTGGCTGCTGCTTACCTAGTTTATACACCAGTAATAATCAGTTCATCCTCTCTAATTCAGCATCAACCTTCCCTCTACCATACACCCTTGCACACCTTAAGGTGCAGGTTATAATCTTCAGCTCCCAACTGTGTTTGTATTGTTATATGAAAAATTGTCCTTTTAGAGTTATCTGCCTTGAAGTGATTTTGCCAAAAGGGTGGTACTGTGGTCAAGTTCACATAAAATCAGTGGCTGAATTATATTTCTCTCCTATCTGCAAGAAATAAATACGAACTGGCAATCTGTGGTATTTTTTTCATGTGTTTGCTATTCCTTTATATAGAGAATTACAGCGTCATCAGTCTGTTTCTGCTGCACAGGGCTGTTGGAAATCCAGCCCAGCAGCATGGGGGAGTGGGGCAGGAGCCCCATGTTTGTCGTGCCCTGTGTGGGCAAGGAATCAAGGGGTAGTCCCTGTTTCTAAGCACTTCAGCCTGTTCTAAGGGCTATTCTTGGAGCTGTTTCTGAGAGAGATGGGAAGAAGGTGTGAGCTAGAGAGATAAGGAGTAAAAAAGAAAAAAACAAGTATCCACCCTTGTAGCATTTTTAATTCAGGGACAATTTTTCTCCATTTTTTTTTAATGCAGTTCAATGTTCTTTTTCCATTTTCATCCTCTAAAGGGTCAGGTGACAGTGTTTGTGATGTGGCACAGGATAATGCAGGTGTCTCCTGGTTGGGAATTAAAAAAGCAGTGACAAAGGAATTGTATGCACTTGTGTCTCTCTCCATCAAGGCTTTGGTCTGCCCTCAGTTGTAAATGAGTATCATAAAAACTGCCCTCACTTTTCTGCTAGCCCATGAACTTGCCTTTCTCCAGGCCTTCTACCTTTTTACTGGGTTTTCTCACCTCAGTCCTTGTCTTCTGATCTGTCCTTCATGCTTCCCCAAACTTCCCTCACTCTGTCATCTCCAGGGGATCCAGCTGCTCCTCACTCCATTCCTTGCCAAGGACAGAGGCTCCCACCAGTCACAGCAATGAATTTAGAATGATCTAAATCAGGGGTGTAAAAAATAGCAAAAATAAGATCTCCTTTCTATTAAAGAGAAACTCATAAATATTTAGCAAAGTAATTAAAAAAAATCAGTGATCCTTTCATGGATGATGGTGCTTAATTTGGAAACTACACAGACTAACTGAGGTGTGAAAAAGAGTATCTGCACATTTCAAACATAATGCCAGCTGCAGAGTTTTCAGTGACTCTTCTGGAATAATTTTACTATTTCAACTTCATCTTTGTTTTTATCTGTGATGCTGCCTCTTACAAAGAGTGGGATTCATTGTCTCGTGTTGGGGGACTCACCTATATATGTCACAATAGTTATTACTTTTTTTGGGAGATGTAATAAATGAGAGGTCGTATTGATGTCAGATTGGTTTTAATATCATTTGCTGTGCTATCCAGCCTCCCAGCAATCCTGTTTTTAATGGCATAGTTCATTCATGTGTATTGCTTGTGATTGCTAAAAAAAAAGGAAAAAAAAGGTATTGCATCTTTTAAAACCATGAGCAAACCTTGTAATTTACTGTCCAGCCCCAGTATGAGCCATTTGTTAGCATGTCAGTGAAGTGACTGTGTGAAATAGGGCTCAAGATAGGACTGACAATTACTTAAGAGTGTGGCTGGAAGATTCCAGGCATTGCCTGTGAGTTCCAAGCTCAGTAAGCATGGACTTTCATCAACAGGAATAACCTGGAAATATGAGGAACAGAAAGAACATTTAGGTTTGCAAGGCTGAAAGGCTGATATACACCTAGTGAACACTTTGTGATTTGTATTTCCCAGGCTATGAGGTTTTGCTGCCTGCATACATCAGTACCAGACTGTTAAATTCCCAGACATAAAGATGTGCTAGGACCTGGAGATACCTAGCTATGCTTTTCAGTTTTGGACTTGTAAGCAAGCACAGTGCTGTCTTCAATGGGAAACGAGGTCCCAGGAGCTTTCATTCAGAAACAGAAAGGTGACAAATGCTGAAGCCAACAGTTTGTATCGGCAGCGAGGGATCCAAGTGCGTCTGCTGCATTTCACATCAGACAACTCTTGCTTAAAAAATTAAATATGGTCACAGGAGTGGGCTGTATAACCTAGATCTCTTCTCAGGATAAGCTCAGAGTTCTTAAGTTTCAGATCCAGGTTTTTGTTTTCTCCTTGCTGTGCCTTTGTGTTTTCCTCCTGTTATTTGGGCCACTGTCCTGAGAAACTGGAGATGTGGGTCTGAATTCCTTCGTGTTGCAAGAGTAGCCAAGTACTCACATCTCCCATCTTCTCTGTGAGGGTGTAGATTATTATGCAAAGCAAGGATTAGTGAAGCTCTTTCTTGCACAGGCAGAAATCTTTAAAGGGCAAGTCCTGCTAATTGAGACACCTGAGTCTAAAAATGACAGGGCTTTATGACTCTTTAGACACCTTACCCATCCAGCTGATAGACTGTTTTCCAGTGCTAGCAACTGTATTTTTTTCTCTCCTATTTCTCACTGCATACATTATATCATATTGTCTTTCAGATACCACTTTAGACAAGCAAACATTGAAGACCATGTCCATTCATCCATGTCTTTTGGATAAAAGATTTAACATTTTTAGATATCACATAGAATGCTTTAAATAGAAAATATTACCAGTTAATAGAATAAAGATAGAGAATAAGTGGTCACAAAAGAATCAGCCTAACTCTCAGGACTCTCTGAAAGCAAAGGGATTTTATTACTGAATTTAAATATGGTCATATTAGCCAGAGTAATCTTCTTGCTAGAAAACTGTTTTTC